CATGGAGACTGGGACCAAACACGTGATCTTAACAACCAGCCTCGTCATCATGCAGATTTTGTCCATATTTGGCAACATGATGCTCTTCGTGGTGGTCTACAGAAGGCCTAGTCTTCGCACGCGTACTAATATGTTCATCTTGAACCTCGCAGCCGCTGACCTGGGCGTGGCAATCACGTGCATGCCATTCTCCATAGTCACGTGTTTAACGCAAACGTGGATATTTGGTGAAGCGTTGTGTCAATTTAACGGATTTGCGAATATCGTTTTTGGGATGTGCTCGCTCCTGACTTTAACGGCCATCAGTATTGAGAAGTACTGCGCTATAGTGAAACCGCTGCACAGGTGGATTACGAGACGACGAACTGTTACGATGCTGGCAGTCACGTGGTTCGAGCCTGTGTTGTTCGCTTCGTTACCGTTGTTTGGCTTTACACGATTTGTTTACAAGCAAGGTGAGGTGTACTAGTCAAAAACCCTGAAAAATTGCACATAAACAATTAAGAGCAACCGCCGGTTACTATCGAGAATCGAAAGTCAGTTTGAAAAATTCGATTTTTTTTTTATTTGACCAAATCATCCCTTTTAGGGTTCCTTTCAAGGAAAAAATACTATAAAGTTCGAGCGATTTTTTTTTCGGGCGATTTTTACCGAATTTCGATTTTGCCGGTTTCGAGGCCAATTTTGAGACCAAATCAATCAATTTTTTAGCCTACTTTCAGAAGCTAACTGAGAGTTAAACACGCAACCAATGAATATGAAATTTAATAGCGATAAAAAGCAACTATTATTCTTATGTTTCCTGAAAACTATTTGCTGTTAGAGTTGATATTTATTTTTTTACCGATTTTTAAATGAGGCGTACTTTTTGAGTATCGCAAAACACGCAAAAATTACCCAAGTTCTACAATCAAAAACACCATCTGGTACCTAAATTTTTGAGGAAATTATTTTAGCATATCGATTCCCATTTATCATTGAGTGTACCATAGAAAGTTCATGCTCTGAATCGAAGTGGTTACGATTTGACAGCCAAATGTTTGATGTCTGGTCCATCCAGTATTCGAGTCACGCTCATTGGTGCGTGACAAGCCAGAAAACCAAAGAACCTTGAATAAATTCATAAAAAAGCATTATGTTCTTCACTAAATGATGCTTGATTCTTTTAAATGACGAGAAGTTATATTTTAAATGAAATGTCACGCTATTTCCGTTTGAAATCCTATGAAATAGCTTTTTTTAGGCAAAGGTCAAGTAGCCGTAAACAAAATAGATTATTCAAACAACGTGACACAGTACTTTGGTTGTTCCTCGTTTATTAAAAATAATAATCCTATGTCTGCATTTGCATTCACTGCAATCAAACCTTTTAACGTATTCATCGTAGCAGCATAGTAGTARCAAAAACTGAAGCAAGTCTACCTTTATATAGATATGTATAGATATATATAAAGACAGTGCGACTAACAGTGCATGTTTTGYGCAGGAGATTATAACTTCCCAACCTAGATAAAATGTCAAATAATAGCACTACTCGTCTGCCTTTATACTATAACTTAAAAAAAACAACTGTCAAACTTTTGATTATATTTGCTTTGATATTATTTGATAAACAAATTTGGGTTTCCTGTGTCGTTTGAATTATAATATATTCAGATTGATAGCTGACATGTCATAGAGTGGCTTTCCGTCAACCGTGCAAAGAAATAGACCAAGTAGTTAGTACTAATTAATAAAGAACAAAAGAAAACAATGGATTTGAAGTCTACTGACAACTATTAGTCTTACTATTTTTGCATGGTTGACGGAAAACCACTCTGCATATTTTAAACTGTTTATTTTTWWAAAAACCGTTAGGCAACAAACAAACAAAACCCTTTGATATCAGTTTTCATTCTGAATAAAACAAAACGTATTYGAAAGGCTGGGCTCTGAAGTCTAACSAGAAGTTATTGTCCATAAARTCCATAAATTACTGAAAAATAGCTACATAGCTGACAAAACAAACMAAAAATTCAATTGACTTYAAAATTAGCGTTTACGAAAAATGTAAAACTAACCGGTTTTGCAGTGTTTACTCTTTGCCGGTTGACATCTACGAAGCTAAAGGTCTAGAAGTTGTAATAGTARTTACGCAGTAACTAAACGTCAAAATGACCTTTTGAGTCTTAAAATCTTTAATCATCTGTGTCAATTAACCTTAATTCGAAAAAACTAACCAACCCCATATCATCGATCGAAATTACTGATCTGAGTGCTATATCTCCCCGGGGTTGACTCAGTCCTGGGAAAAAAGGACTAGGATGCTCGTCGGGAATTTCGTTAAAACTAAACCCTAACAGATACCGGAGTCTTTAAGAAGGGGCGTGGCTGCATCAACAATTATTATTATATTACAATGATCCTTAATGAAATTGCAGTTTCTATATTTTCTATCGATACGCTCTACTCTCCTTTTTCGACACCMTAAGAGATAYCAACGTATGGTRATTTTTAAAAATTCTTATCATCGACACCCTAAAAGACATCGCCGATTTTTACCCTTAAGAGATACGACAAGCATCCTTGGTTCTTTTTCCCGGGAGTTACCCCCGATGTCACTCCTAACMCTAATTCGTAGATTCCTGGCATGAGCATCGACCTACAGCTTCAATCAGCAATTTTTCGTAGGGCTCTTTCCTTCTTACGGCTTTTTGTGGGACGTTTAGGTCGAGACTTGAAATGGTTTGAAGCATGCCGAGCTTTAATTTCTTGAGCAATCCGTCGTCAACCATCTGRCATATGTTGTACTGGTCGTACGTAATTGGGTGCTCGAGTTGGATGACGTCAATGGCTGTATTTGTTGGTGCGGCAAAGTTGCTTTCTTCTTCTGACGCCTCAATGTCGTTGTCATCTAGTACCTCATGGCGGTCTTTAGATGCTCGGCGGGAAAAGTAAGAATTTATCTGCTGATGACTTAAAAATTCGGATACCTTGAAAAGGCGTTCCCCATCCGGGCCTTGTGCACGCCTCATCTGCTTGGCGACTGACTCTCCATTTAGCTTTCTACCAGTTCTTTTTCCGATCTCAAATTTGGCATCTAGGTATGCTTTTTGCTTTTCGTTGAAGCGGTAATATTTTTTAGCTGATCTTAAGGCCCACCCTTGCTCAACCACTCTTGTGGAGCACTCCCCTAAATTCGGCCTGAGGGATGGTACTGTGCTTGTGCCGCCACCTTCTAGTCTCACCTGGTAGCCAATTTTCGCAAGGTCGAAAAGAGAATACCTCTCCAAAGACTTTGTGCAGTTTTCCAGTGATAGATGTCTTTCAAGAGACGAATGCCTCTGAAAAACCCGTACACAACCTTCCATAGGGCAGGTGAAGACATCAGGTGTTTGTGGCTCTGTTTCAGTGTGTGGTTCAGTAGCAGAGGGATCATCATCTTGACGGTGTTTCCTGACTTTTTGGGGTTTCCCTCCAAAAGACTTGAATTGTCCCGCTGAAAACGTTGATTGAAGCCAATTGGGATCTAAGAAAGAAAAAACAATTTCAGCTGACTCTAGTATTTTATAATCAATGATAATGATAATAGGGATAACATAATAGTTAAGAGTAGAYGCATTAAATCCGTGAAATAAGAAGTACTTATAACTAATATAATGGTGATTAGAAGGATAACGGACAATACAGAAATTGAATGGCTACTGTCGACTATTCAATCAAAGATAATATCTCATACTTGTAAACTTCTATATCCCTGAAGTTATCTACTAGTACGGATACAAATACCGCTGACACTGGCTAATTACTGACCTTTATTTGAGCTTTCAATTGCAATGACATTTCCATTACCGATGCCATAGGCTCTATACGTCTTGACGCTCTTGCAGTTGTTATAAAAACAAAGTTGTTTAATTTGCTTATTCCTGGAATTTTCTGTGTTATTTCCAGTGGAGTCTCGTTTATGCTCTCCATAGCTGCAACTCTAACGCCTTCAACACCTCCATAAGAAGATATGGCCTCTTTCAGCTGCTCTGCTGTGGTCACGTCATTGCCTTCATTGATAAACCTTCGAACGTGCGCCTTACACGTAGCGGCAAGCCTATCTGCAGGGCCTTTACCCCCTTGGGGATCACTAAAGTCATTTGCACGATTTCGATACCACTTGACTGTACAATCTTTGGAGTCGATGTTATGGTTTCATTCGAATGGTAACATCCCGCATTGTCTTGGCGGAAGTATGCCTTTTTGATTTCTGGATGTTCGGCCTTTAGAGTCTTCAAAACATCCTCCATGATGAGAACAACTGCAGGGCTTCCCTGGCTGCATGACTGTATAATATGGATAAGTCCTTGCCATTGGAGAGTACCCTTATTGCGGCGATAAACAACAGATATATRCCAGGAAATACCGCGTTTCCCAAACCAGTCTGTTTGAGATTCCCGGTATTTCCTAGGCAGGAATTTCATGGCCCAGTCGTTCACGATAAGGACACTTTCATCATMCAAAAGGTCTAAGACGTCTGTTCTCGCTTTGTCTTGATTAACGGATCTCATGATGTKACACTTCCAAGAGTTAATGGCTGTTTTGGCAGACTCTGCAATATATTGAGCCTCATCATGGTCGTCGACGCTAGGGTATTTTGTTTGCTTCACCTTTTCAATTATTTCGTCTAGTGTGGCATGAAGGGATGAACAACGTTCACAGTCCTCATCATGGGTATGATCGCAAGAACTCTTGAAGCTTGAGGCTTGTGCGTTTTCACTGAGTGAGTATACAATACAATGATCAGCAGCCTTTGAAGCGTTTGATACGTGAACCTGCAAAAAGACAAAACAGCAATAAATACTTTTTCGCATCAATAGGCTTCTGCRTAATACACCGCACACATCTAATGCATTATAGGATACGTTGGGATAATATGTGGTGGAATTCTTGAGTGTGTGTGCTAAATTTTAGTTTTTGTACAAGCTAATCCCACAATGCATTGCAAAACAAGTAGGTGACACAAACACTTTAGAAATCAATAGTTCATAGTGGATAACTGATGAAACATTTGCGCAAGAGAATTTGTCATATAAAACAAATTAGTTGGAAAATTAAAATTCGAAAAGGGACGACTTATTAATGACGATTTCTCTTACTAAATTTTGTTTTTACCTTATAATCACCCTTGAGATACATCTTGGCTGCTTTTATAAAGAGTTAATAGTTGATGTTTCCCACGTCTTGTCCATGTCAATATCACCTAGCTGATGAACAACGTCAATGAGGTTGTCGAAGGCCTGGGCACCATCGGCTGCAAAGTAGTCGAGGCCTTGTAGGGATTTCCTGACCGATGCRCTACATTCAGACAATACTCGAAGCATTGTTCGCTCGCTGAAGGGCATAAAGTTGATTTCACTGCAGTATTGTTGATATTGCTTCACGATCCTCTGTGGTATCATTGTTCGTATGATGTTTGGAACTTCAATTGTTTCGCCTGTGGACAGTTTCAGATTTTTTTTCCCAAAGGGAAGGTCCTGTACCAGGTGAGGACTAACTATGAAATCAAGAAAATGGTCAAGCTGCACCCGATCAACGCGAATGCGAGAATTGGCAGGCTGTGTTGGAACTTTCGCCCCAGTACCAAATTGAAGTCGGTGTAAATTGGCTGTGGTAAATCTGTATTGGGTCAATCCTKGAATGTACTCGGTTAGTATTTTATACGACGTTATGCCAGACATTATTGAGAGGATCTGCCTGCGCGTCTCCCAGCTTTCAGCGTTTGTATAGGCTTGTGCAAGTGACTCTAGGTACTTTTGCTCTGAGGGGCTCAAGTTGTGGATACCAAGAAGGTGCGGTACCTCTGAAGAAGTGACTAGCTGTCTCCATAGGTTGGCGACAGTTTCGTCATCTGGTGACACTGTTTTCATTAGAGCAGAAATCATCTCCGTCGTTTTTTTTGTATAACGCCGTCTTGTACTGTCGCTCGAGCTGCCCCATGTCTGCCACGATCTAACTATAGGATTAATACCGCTTGATATTAAAAATGCATTTAGATGCTGCATTGCCATGTCTTGTGTTGAAGAGCTTTGGTCATCACTTTGCGTTGATGCGGTTGWTGCAGTATCTGGTGACAGAAATAAAGATTCCTCTCTTTCAGTTAATTCCAGTTGACTTAGCATTTCTTGCACGGATTCTGCAGACGAGGATGAGGATGGTACTTCCATTTCCTGTCATTGAATAATATCATATATAAGTATGCTGAAAATGACGACCGCAAGTAATAGTAAGGTAGCACAATAATGCGAATGCATGATGAATATATCGATGAAAACTGTGAAATCAAGGARTTTCGTGAGAAATGAATATATACGTTCTTCATACTTTGGTTGTTTCAGACGTTTCCATGGTTTCGATCGGAGTTGGAATAGGTGATGAAGTTGTGGTGCATGGTTCAGCGTTTATCTTTTCTTTCATTGCATTATAACATGTCCTACACATAACTGTCAAAAGAAACATTCAACACGTTAACTTAGATCTTCACCCTCTCCCCCCTCCCCCGTACAATGTCTAGCAATTATAAATGAATGGGAAAAAGCGGTCAACTAGTGCAAACTGAATATCGGTGTTTCTACGAAACAGTTTTGAAACGACTAATCAACGTTTCGGACTCTAGTCCATCGTCAGAGTAAAGTGAGTAACTCTTCGAGCTACGCGCATTTCGAGTTACACGTTCAACCACRCCCAAATTTCTATCTGCTATGCATATCGGCCTKCATAAACCGACRCCAATAGCTTTGATAAAGATTTTCATATTATACACGACATTCAAAATAGTAGATCATGCACTACTGCTATTTTCTGGGGACTAGTCACTAACCATGGAAACAGATACACCGAGTAAGATACAATGTCAGTTAACTAGACGGAGGCTGGCCTTTGAGACCTCGTCATAGCGATTCGCACCCAGTGCCCTCGGCTGGAGGTGCGGTTCTGACAACGCTTCGCCMAAAATATAACACATAACCATAGGCGGCCCACCCTTTRCGTGCAAAGAGAACGCAAGCGTTCGCTTTTATTCTGCTCTATATTTTCATTTAATTATGAGCTCGCGCGCTTGTGGATTACCTGTGGTATTACCTACTACGATTTACTACGTCACGATCCCGTGCCTCGCGGGTTGTCTACTAATCTGAGACTAGTTGACAGCCCGCGAGGCGCCGGATCGTTACGTAGTACCACASGTAATCCGCAAGTTCGAAGCGCGCGAGCTCATAGTCAAATGAAAATATAGAGCAGAATAAAAGCGCACGCTTGCGTTCTCTTTGCACGCAAACGTTGGGGCGCCTATGACAAAACATACGAGCTTAAGAAATTTTCAAGACAAATTAATAGTGATGGAAATAAGAACAGAAAATATGTTTTAAAATCGATACCAACATTAAAAATGAATACCAAAGCTAGTATAATAGATTTATTGGACATGTAGTGATGTGACGTCATGTACTTACGCAATCCAACATCGACATGTTKTCCAGTTTTAGTCAAAATAAAATGAGATTCACAGCTCGTCACTGGTAAGCTCCCTTTTGCCGTCTTTGATTTGTGTGCMGCTATTTCCATTGGCACCGCGCAAGTTGAACGTCTTGACCGCCAACGAATGCCAAAGCTAGCCCTGTGTCTGGGACAAATTGTGATGGACTGATGTCTTTCTTCAATCGTGAAAATGCCTATWAATTTTATAAAATCAAATTACATCGTTAGAAATTCTAATTAATTCCAAATTTCAGTACTAATGCAATGAACAGGTAAATTTTATGTACATTGTATGCATTTATGTCTGACTGCACGTGCAAGAAGTAACGCGATTTCACTGCTGACCCCTTGGTCCGCACTGCACTTGAGAGACTTTAAATGTGCAGACACATCTTTATCGCACTCTTTTAAAGTAACATACGTTGTCTCATTTGGATAGTCCGAGCTCATCCCACAAGTACCAGGATCAACTTCAAGTAGCTTGAGTCGCGTTGAGTAAYCACAAGACGCCATCTTCTTACGCGCATGTAGATACAAAAGTGTCTGTCTAATTTTGAAGTTGTACCAGATATACTATGTGTCCTTGCGTAAAAGCAAATATTGCACAGAACTGAAATCGTTATAAAGCCTTATATGGCTCTCTCGAAATTTGATTCGCGCTTACTCTGGTCAAAGTCGAAGTAACAACAAAATTCTGGATGTACAGAACATTTTTCAGAAGAAAAACAATCAAATTATCGTCATTCAAATTAAAATTACTCGGTCCGCTGTAGATTGACGTTGAAAGTGACAATAGCGAAGGTCGATCAGTCACGAATCTGCTTTTTGGACAATGAATACTCTAGAAAAATGATTTTAAGGAATATAAATGCCGAATATGGACTASTACATTTTTAATAAACGAGGAAGTACCAAAGATAAATTACTGTGTCACGTTGTTTGAATAATCTATTTTGTTTACGGCTACTTAACCTTTGCCTAAAACAAGCTATTTCATCGGATTTCAAACGGAAATGGCATGACAATTCATTTAAAATATAACTTCTCGTCATTTAAAAGAATCAAGCATTATTTAGTGAAGAACATAATGCTTTTTTGTGAATTTATTCAAGGTTCTTTGGTTTTCTGGCTTSTCACGCACCAATGAGCGTGACTCGAATACTGAATGAACCAGACATGAAACATTTGGCTGTCAAATCGTAACCACTTCGATTCAGAGCATGAAMTTTCTATGGTACACTCAATGATAAATGGGAATCGATATGCTAAAATAATTTCCTCAAAAATTTAGGTACCAGATGGTGTTTTTGATTGTAGAACTTGGGTAATTTTTGCGTGTTTTGCGATACTCAAAAAGTACGCCTCATTTAAAAATCGGTAAAAAAATAAATATCAACTCTAACAGCAAATAGTTTTCAGGAAACATAAGAATAATAGTTGCTTTTTATCGCTATTAAATTTCATATTCATTGGTTGCGTGTTTAACTCTCAGTAGCTTCTGAAAGTAGGCTAAAAAATTGATTGATTTGGTCTCAAAATTGGCCTCGAAACCGGCAAAATCRAAATTCGGTAAAAATCGCCCGAAAAAAAAATCGCTCGAACTTTATAGTATTTTTTCCTTGAAAGGAACCCTAAAAGGGATGATTTGGTCAAATAAAAAAAAAATCGAATTTTTCGAACTGACTTTCGATTCTCGATAGTAACCGGCGGTTGCTCTTAAAATTGTATCCTTTTCTCTCTCAGGAAGCACCCAATGCAGCGTCCAAGACCCAGTATCTCTCGGCCAGACTATACACGCAGCTATTGTCTTCATCATCGCTTATGTTATCCCGCTAAGCACCATGGGATTTGCTTACGTCAAGATTTTTAAGGCCGCTGGCCAACACAATCGTCGTATCAAGCAAAATTCCCCTAATAAGGCGTCTGGTACATTATCGAGTCAAGCTCAAATTGCCTGGACAGTTTTTATAATGCTGATAGTTTTTATAATATGCTGGACGCCATACTTTGTATACGTCATCTATGTCACAGCCAATCATGGTCAAGACTCTAAATCACGTGATTTAGCTCTGGCCGCTTATTGGTGCGTCTTCATGAATAGTACTTTGAACCCGTTTATTTATGGTATTCGTAATCCAAGTTTCAGGGTCGAATTTAAAAACATTATGTTGCTATTGACAGCAATCTGTGATTGGTTTAAACATGGAAGAACTGGAAGCTCGGTGGCGTCATTTTCGGTTGCTCAGCCGACCGGAAGTGACGGATCATTGGACGTTGCTAAGGAGTTTCCGTTCAAATCTAATGGCGCTATTAAATTGGTTGGTTACCATGATAACAAATGTTACATAGATGGAGACTGTAACCATGGTGACGATACGTCAAATTCTCCTCAAAGTCACAAAATGTGTGGAGATGCAAATACAAAACAAATCTATTCAAATCCGTTCATAGTGATAAACGATAAATCGTGAAATAAATTGAAACGCTTGGTTGCCTTATCCAAACACACGTATTATTTCAAAATTCATGATCATAAACAAACTCAAACTACAATCGTTGACAAAATCCTTGGACCATTCCAACGAACTTCCTCAATTTAGGCAACACCAGCAGACAATTTCATCCCCCCTGACTCCCTAAATGCAATGTTGTCATTGATCATGTTACCATAGTACACAAGCATCCAAAACAACACCCAACATTGATGCCCGAGGGAACTAAGAGGGAAAACTGTGAAACAATAAAGGAGAAAAATGTTAGCATGGAGACAAATAATTCTATGGTCCAAGGATTTTTGGAAACGATTTAAGCTTATCACTATATTCGATCGATTATCAAAATGACACAACTTATCCTACAAATAGACCTTACACAAAGATACGGCCGCCATCTTGAATTCTATGACGTTTCATTATTTTAAGTCGATTGATGTACATTTTGTTTCACGGGTGCATGAAAACCACTTTATAACTCTTATTACTATTTCACTTTGTTTCATGGGTTTATCAACACATTTTATGAGATCTCAAGAGGTTTCATAACACTGCCACTTAGAACACCCACAAACACTGAACGTTTGACCATGGCTTGGCATGATAAGAGAAAAGGCGTATTCGGTAATCATTTCACTAGATAAATCATGCGATAACCTTATTATTTGAGTCAACGAATTGGGGAAATTAACTTTGATAAAACAAAACGCCAAGTCGCCCCCGCGTTGAAGCCAAAAACACAACGCTTTCGTTGTAACTTGTCTCTTGAGAAATGAC